AACATTTAGGTTACCTGCCAAAAGGACCATGATCTCTTCAAAATGCAATGCGGATTAAAGTGTTATCTAACACAAGCAGAAAACTAACCTTGGAGTGGAAGTTCGAAATGTGTTCATCATAATTTTCATGTCTTTGGATAGAGAAACCAGCTTTTTCAGCTAGATTGCAAAACTGGTTTAAAGTATTCCCTCGGAGTGGAGCAAATACCATTGCTTTTCCCTGGAACATTAAAAAAAGAATTTATACATTTTTAAAACTGGAAGGGAACCAGATATAACCTACACCAGACTAAGCTTTTAATATACTCAAGCTGGAAAAGTCAATCGTTTTCCTGGTAAAACACTAAGATAGGTTAATATAAATAATTGTTCAAAATAGGGAAGACTTCTGTAAGCAAACAAATGCAAACTAGGAAGTAATAAATAAATATTTTTTTTAGAAAACTGCTGACTGCCATACATTTGCTCCTTTTCATATAATAATGGTGGCTATGAATTACCAAATTAAAACACAGAAAAAGCATACAAAACATACACTCAATGCAAAATCCATTTGTTAGCTCATGACCATGCAAAGACAGTAAATAATGATTTTCTTTTTTTACTTTCATACATAGAAGAGTACCTCCCATTTGCTGTCAGTGGAATTACAACAGTGTAAAACAAGGCAAAATGGGAGGCAAATCAGAGCCGATCATTAATTTTTTAGATATTTTAAACAATCTGAGCAGTGCAACCAAATTTGACCCTAAATTGTTAAATTGCATTTAAAGCAGGACTTAATGTTCTTGCATGTAATTCTGGATCTTTCAAGATGATCAGGCCATTTATGATGCCCAGGCAATACATTATGGTCCATTAGCTAATTTTTTGCTCATCCTTCTGTATTTAAGAAAACAAAAATGACTGTACCTTGAACTGATAGATTTTAGACATCCTGTGCAAAGTACTAGCCCCAAACCTAACCTACTTGACACAGCATCTCTTGAAATCATATTTGCAAAATTAATTCTAATTGGCTGAATACCGTGTTCTGTCACATGGAATGAAAACTGGTTGAAGAGCTGTAAACAAAGGTTAATATCAGCCAACAGCATATCACACCGAGGGGAGCCACAAAGTTTACTGTGAGTTCTTGTATTTAACTTCTATATTAATGAGAGCTAAGACTAATTTGTAAGGAGCTGTAATCAACCGAAGAGACAAAAAATATTTTTAGGGATGCTACAGAAGAATATTTGGCTTGACAAAACGTAATCTTGTATATCAGAGGAAAAAAGTGATCAGAAGAGAGAATTTCAGTGGGAACTCTGGAAAGTTACAACGCTGACACAGATACTTAGAGAGGAAGATAGGGAACAAATCTGTGCACTATAGCTCATGGACACATATGCCCAGACAACATGCAGTGAGGCAGCAATAAAAACACTACATCAGTATCTATGGTACTCATGTGTACTTAAAAGACTTCAATCATTAATACCACAGCACTGTATTTATTCTCACAATGCCTCTGTGAGATAGGGAAATACTGTTATCCTCATCTTTCTCATGGGAAATTTAGGCATAAAGGAGATTGAGAGCAATATCCAAAGCAACTCACTTCTTCTAATTTGTGTAGCTACAACTTTAATTCTGTGGCTAAATATGAGGTGCAAAGGACTGTAACTCCCATCGAAGGCACTGGAATTGCTTATGTAAATGTTAGATCTGAATATAGGCTCAGCTCAGGATGAAAAATATTAAACACAGGAAATCCACAATCAGTTCCCTCACATCCTTGGCATGCTTTAATGTCATCAGACAGAAGTGGGCAGCAAAGGGAGCCTTCAGATGAGGATCCTTCTCCTACTGCCATCTCACACTCCCCAGAATGTTCTGCAGAGACCCTTCTTGGCATAAGAAGAATGAGACTCCTCTGGATTCCTTCATCGTCACGGGCAGCTTCACAGAGAAGTCACTGTAACGGGAAACATGTTCCCCACCCCGGGCTTACAGATGACACGACTCATGAGGGGACTTCAGGAATGGCTAAACCTCGTGAACAGACTGCTGGAGGCTGCATGCCCTACACTGGCCACTGATCGAGCAGCTTCGATGGCTCTTACAACAGCATCCTCTTACAAATTTCCATTTGGAGTCAGAAGTTCATGCGGTCATTCCTTTTCACACTCTCTGTACAGTAATTACTTCAATCTTAATTTGAAAGAGAAATACAGTAAAACAGAATGCAACATGGTATGAATTAAAATCAGAATGAAAATCTTGAAATAACTTCAAAAAAGAGGAATGGCCTTTTATGGAAATGACTACACAGCTACTTTTGTCCAGCTCCTCAGTTCGTGTAAAAACCCATTCCTCTACTGAATTTAGTGTGCACTTAAAACAACTGAGGGTCTTGCTCTTGCTGACAAAAACCCCAAGAAATCATGACTGAGTTTATCACTACAATAATCTCCCTAAAACTGTGGGAGATTTTGTGGAGGTGCTGTGGTCAATTCTGGTCTTTCACAATCTGAGTTTGAAGCACTTGCTTGTTAACTGCATGATCTCTGTGATTCTGCTATCTGTTGTGGGGCTGCATTCATATTTCTAATTTTAAAATGTTTTTTTTTGTTTCCTGGTTGCTCTGCAATAGTAAAATTAGACCAGTAGGCTAGATCTACACTTGATGGACTATCCTAAAGTTGTTTAATTTGAAGTTTGTAATTCAAGAGTGCCTCCCAGTTTAGGATGATGTTTAAAGTTCAGACTGGTCTTTCCTCAGCTGGGAAAATAATTCCAGTAAACTCGTGAAGAAAACACAGAGGAAAATGTCATTCCATGGGGCCATACTATGAATCAGATGACTGAAATGACCAGAGTCCTGTTCCCAGGAAAACAAAAAGTTACCCAAAACACTGTGTCATATGGATTCTAATAGCCACGAATAACATCCTCAATGAAAAAGGAAATACTACAGATAAATTTATCTCTTTTTAAACTAACAGTAAGAATAGATTGCCTGTTCTGAATTTCTCCTTCAAGACAGCTTTGTAAAGATACCCGTGATTTTCTGTTTACTCCACGTTTCCTTTTGGTTTTGCTGGCTGTTATTTTCCCTGAACTCTTCTATCCTGGTTACACTTGAAAGGTCTTACACCTAGATGTGTCTTCCATTTCAGATCATTCCTCTATTGATTTGGCAAATTATTACCAATAAGCAAATGTAACTTCTAAATTTGAGACAAAATAATTCATGTAGAAGAATGAACTTAATCAAAGTAGTTTATGCCTCAGCTTGGGCATAAACTAACGCCCATAAACTATTCTTAAGTATTGCAACTGGCAAATGAGTTCAGTATTAATTTATTTTTCCTTTAAAGGCCAAAGTATAGTGCCATTTAGTAAAGTTTCCTCTGATATTTTCTTTAGATTTATACCGGTTAACAAGAACAGTAAAAATAATGACTATTAGGTACTTGTGATTGCATCTTGTCTTGCGATCTCAAATGAGTATATGATTTTATTTGGGTCTTTCAAACCATGAAAGCATACGCTTGAAGGCATTTCTATCTCTTTTTGGATAAGAAAGCTCATTTAAGGTGTCTGTACTCCCAGCTTCCAGCCCACACAATAGTTTGCTGTCCTTTTAGTTATGAATTATAAAAATTTGCAAGGCCATGCCATAACTGGATATCTATCCATATGGCCATCCATAAAGTGGATTAGACAAATGACTGGTTGAAAAATACAGATTGGTCCAAAACTCTGCAATAGGAGCAAGAATTTCTTAAGCTACCTTTGCTGACAGGAGATAGGAACCATGGCCTAAAATGCAGAGCAAATAAGTACAGGCTATGCTATTAATCACAATATGCAGAAGCAAGCCAGACTAGGAAGACAGGGAACAAAAAGCCATCTTCCTTTACTCCATCCACATTCACAAAGGACTGTAGTTCATCTGCTCTGAAAAACAAAGGCATATTCTGAATTTGAATTAGCTGACTGGAGTTAAAAAGCAACAAAGTCAGGCTGGTTTTGGTTTAAAGTCAGGTTGACAATTCCTAAGTTGTCTACAGAAGGGAACTTGAGCTGTGAACACTACTTAAAATTGAGGCTGCCTTACCCTCACTGTTTTTTTTAATCATTCTCTGGTTGGGCTAATCAGACCAGGTCAAAACTGTATGTATGTGTGTGTGGATATAAAAATGCCTGTGTGTACCCACATTTTTTGGCAATATAGACCACCATGATTAGCCATGAGCAGGAGACAAAGCAACTAACAGTTGTTCTTTCACTCCATCTAGAGGCTTTATCCAGGTCACAGTTACCAGCACACCTCTTAAAGACTTCCCTTCCTGCCACTCATACTCCTCTCCCACAGTGCACTTTAACGGACCCAGTACAGCAGTCTATGGGGCTACCTGAAGAACCACATGTGGACATTGATCTGGGCTGAAAAAAAAATATTTCTGCATTTTTTAAAACTGGGATCAGCTTTGTGTTCCAGACCGCTTGTGGCCCTAAAAATTGTTGCATCCTGACAACTGATGGCACATCAGGAAAGTCAGAATGCATCATTCTGGGGACGAGCTGCTTAACCTCCCCTTGCTGCCACTGACAGAAATATCTGGGTAACCTTTTCCTCAGCGTGGCTACGTTTCTCCTGTCTTCCTAGCAGCCTTGCCCCACAGGCTCATTAAAATAATTCAGTCTTAAGTAACTTGCCTTAGGTCACTCAGGAAAGGCTATGATAGAACCAAGAATAGAAACCTGATCACTCTTAGCAAAGAATGGGATTACTTACATGACTAAAACGACTTGGTTTCTTAAGCCTTTCCACGTTTGATTCTTCTATTCCTTTTACAAAGAAAATCGCTTGTACAATAAGTACCATACAACGCAAATAAAGTTTGGAGAATGCATTGCTAACATGAAATGGAAAGTTTACCTTACTGGAAGATTTGCATGGTGAGCATGAAAAAGTAAAATTCCTGTTTCAAAATCCTACTTAGAGCAATTATTTCATATGTTTTCTCATATTCACATTTTGTTATCTCCTTTTTATTTTTTTTTTTAGAGTCAAGATTATTATTTGTTGGGTGTAAGTATATGCATATAACAGCTTTTTTTTTTTTTTTGCCTGTAGGTTTCTGATTTAACAGCTTCATCAATTGAGCATGGTAAGATATTTTCTCAGTGACACTTATGTAGAACATGTAAGCATTTTATGAAGAGCTTAATTTCATTATGTTCTAAGATATAAAACGTGAACACAGGGCTTAATGGAAAAAAGTTTTAGGCTACAATATATGCATAAAGGTTTTGTTCATTTTATATAAACAGAAATGAAAAGAAAAAAATATTCTTTCATAATAAATAAATACATAATGACAAAGGTTACAATTGAAGGGATTACAAATGACAGAAGCCAACACAAAAACTTTCAATATCGTACTTTTACTTTAATATGAAGACATTATTATCAAAGGAAAATACTCGAGAAACGCTTTGATAAAAATAATCTCACGCTATCTTTGAAGCGGTTTCATTTATTTTACTACCCACTGTGTTCCTTATCAGAAGGCCAAGTATAAGAAGTTTCCTAGTTTATGATTAGGAAAGAATCTGATAGATTAGAAGACTCAATTGAAGTTGGACATAATAAGTATTAAAGTATTACATGACATTAATCCTGCCATTCCATTACTCTCTCAATCATTGTGCACAGACTAATTATTCTGAAGCCAGTGTTCAGGAGAAAATAGAAACATACTTACACTGGGTTGGAGTAATCTCTTTATTGCATCAACAAGGCTAGCTCTGTACTGGTCCAGAAACAGGCTGACATTGAGAAGAGAACAGATTCCAGATTAAAATGGGTTTTCAATTCTAATGATACTAATGCAGATAAGTACCAGGCTAATTACATATGTTTACACAATGCTGTAAAAGAGAAACTGCAGTTTACATTTCTGTCCAGTTCAGGTACTTTTAAAGACTAAAAAATACATAAAGTCAAATATAATCGAAATAAAAGCTAAAATATCAGCATGAATGCATCTTTATATAGCTGAGATTCACAGATCACATATGCTAGCTATTAAAATACTACTATATCAGAAATCAGGATCAATATATAAAGTTAACATTTTACATGTTATTTTATACAAGGTGAGGTGGAGTTTTAAAAAATTGTTTTCTATTTTATTTCTGGTGTTATTATTCAGGGTGTTTTTTTCTTTTTACCTTCATGGTTGTGGCATTAATTCATTATTATCTAGTATGCGTGTTTGTTCTATTTATATACATATTTCTATCTATCCCTATAAAGATTTACAAGCCCCTACCTCCTCTCTTCCTCAAATGCCGTTCAAATACAATGACCCAGATTGTACAGAGTTGTCCTCTCTCAAGAGTGAAATCCTTCATCTCCAGCATGGGTCCCGCAAGGATAGCAGCAGAGTCAATTTTCCCATGCAATGTTGCCAACATGCTCAGCCCTATTTTGGCGTGATTACCTCATGATTTGAGGGGATAATTCATTCTTCATGCCCCTCAGTACCTTAATGTATATACTAATAGTGGCAACCAGGGTGCCAATCACTCTTGACTAGATATTTGTGGACATGTAGTTACTGTGGATGAGAGTGCATTTACAATGGTTAGTGAACAACCATCGGATAGCAACTGATGCCTTTCAGTCCTTACTACCACGGGTTGCATTTATGTTGTCGATTCAGATAAGAAACTCTATCAAGCAGGCCACAAATAATGTGATTCTCTCTTCATTATTTTTCATGCTTTCTCTATAATAAAAGTGCTTCCCAGCCTGTGTTAAGCTCAAGTCCCACACTACACGGCATTTTGTCCATTCTTTATGACTTTTTTCTATACTCCCCTTTCCCTTATTCTCAGACATCTCATTCCGAAGAGATGTGGGTAATTTTTTTCCAGGCTTGAAATTTCTAAAAGAATATAAAGAATATATGAAAACACTGGAGAGAAAAAGTGGTCTGCCGACCACATGCCAGTCATCAAGAATAAAATATGCGTGGATATTTAGTTAAGAACACTCCACAGCTGCCAAGGATAATACAATATTACATATCATAGGGTCAAGCAGCTGTGTAAGAGCTGTGAATTTTTGCTACTCAGGAAAAGGAAAAAAGCCTATCAGAAAACTTGCCAAAGTTCATCAGTAAAAACTGGCAGAACCTCACGTTGTTGAGAAAATATGGTAGACTTGGTATCCATAAATTTCTTGAACATTTCATATAGAATTATGACCTTCTGAATTTCTTCTTATGATATTGAAGTACTAGCTAACAATTTCTCTGATAGCCTGCTCACAAGAAAATTTAAACTTTAGCTATTGGAATGATGGCTGCCCCTCATCCTTGATTAATGTTACTGGAAGAACCTTACTGAAAAAAATGTTTGTTTAAATTTAATTCATTGAAACAGCAGCTGATAGCTCTACTGTCTCCTGGGAGTTTTAATCACATTCACCTCAGGTAGGTCCCTATGCAGATAGATACCATAAGACACTACTTCACTGGGAACTTAGCCACCTGCAGAAGAGGTGGAATATAGTGCATGAGTCCTTTCCCCAAAAAATCGCTAAAAATGATTATTTTTCTTCAACATGAAACATCACAAGCATGCACATATTTAAGACTTGCTGAGATCCTGTGTCGATAGAAGTACATTCCAAATGAAAAATGCACTTTTAATATATTTATTTTTGAAAGCGATGTAGTGGAAACACAATTTAGGGGCAGCTTACCAGTGCTAAAATTCCTTTTTCATGGACCTGCATACCATTCTCTCTTTTTACAATGAGACGGGGGCACAACTGCTGCTACCAATCTTGTTCCTTTACAATGAGAGAACTACAGGCCTTTGTTCGCCAGAAACTGAGTGTCTGAGAACTTAAAATGGTTACATGACCTGCCAAGAGATTAGACAATTTCAATAATACCTTTTCTGTCTGACTCCCACTTGATATTTTGGTGGTATGGGAGGTAGACTTTTAGCCCTGTTAGCTTAGGAAATCCAGATAACCTGGCACAGTTGCCCTGCCCCTCCCAAGATGTCCCTGCCCTCCAAAAAGCCTGTCCCTGGGAACAGGACCTACTTCAATTGAAAATAGTCTCCAATATTGCAATTTCCAGTCTGTTGCTCTGTGAGCCACATATTCTGACCAGAGGGAGCAGAGAAGGCTGGAAGCAATGCTAATGCAATGCAGTGACTACAAGGAACATCTCTATCCTCCCTGAGTCGAAGGACGCCTTGAATGAGGAAAATCCTGAAGAAGTCGTTAGATAATCTGTGCTGCAGACAGGGCCAGCACAGGATTTGGCCCACGCAAGAAGATTTAGTCACGCAATTTCTCTTACCAGTAGAATTTGTATGACTAAATATTATCACAGCATCCTGCAAATGTACCCGAGAGAATCCGTTAAAGCTCACAACAGCTCAGTGAAATTAAATAATGTATTGTTCTAAACCATTCTCGCCCAGTTCTCATACCTCAATTCAAATTTGGCTTAGCTCACCATTACTTCAGTGGTAATAACTCATGTTTATGCAGTAAGGACGCTCTGAAAGCAGAAGCTCAGTACAGAAATAGCAAGGGTTTCTCAGGTCAGCATGGAAGTTTTGGAGCACAGCAGCAGGAGAGGCAAGAACACAGTCTATGATTCGGCCTTTGTTTTGGCAGTGCTCTTCACCTGTGAAATCTGGATAAACAGGCAGGCAATCTTGTCACCTTTCCCTTCTTGTGTTCGTTTGTTTTAATTTTAAATTACTTTTAAAACTAAAATGAAAGTTTATGCTAACATTGTATGGAACTAACAGGAAGCCATAAGGAAACAAATTAAAAAAAACAAGTAGATTCTCAGTTCGCTTCATGCTGATATCTTTTTATCTTGTGCCTCACAACAAAGGGCATATACTAATATTTTATAGGCTATGATGTGAGCTTATTTTTCTTTTTGCATCCTTTTCAATTGGTAAAAGAGCTTAGTTTACAAGTGTACTTCAGACATTATTATATTCATGTATAGTGCCTAGTATATAGAGCCATTTATCTTTTTGTTCACCTCCAACTACATAGCTGACATAAATTGAAAAAATCCTTACTTCCATGTCGTCAGATTCCACTACACTTGAAAGTGTGTGCAAGAAATAAGGCTTAAAACTAATAACAAATTTAAACTGAAGGAGGACAGAGATGTTACTGGATTCCTGCAAAAAGATTTCCTTGTATTAAATGAAATACTAACAGAGACAAAATTGGCGTATTTTAAGATATTTGAAGAATACTTTCAGTTTGGTTCTACATTCCTGGTGAATCCACAGGTCCCCATGACTTCAGCAAAAATCTCAGCAGTAAAAGTAATGTGGGATAGCCCTCCTTGGCCTCTGTTATCCAAATACCTATGCATGTGCCAAACTTCAAGAATATAATCCATCTAACTAAGTAAAATGGGATGTTACGCATTTCCAAAATGATATGGTGATCTAGACCTTATACTGTCTCTACATTAAAATTATTTGTGCAACTTGTTTCACAAGAACATGAAAGACAAAGATTTTTCTATTGGCTCAGTCCTATCAGCCTTGACCCTCTTGGATTAAAAAATCTCAGCAACTCTTTTCTTAATAGAGAAAAGGATATATGCTTCCTTTTAAATAATCAGAAATCTGAGGTTCTTGAGAGTTTTGGAAGATCTTGTTTTTGGCCTGTCCATACAGACACCTGTTATTTCTCCTCTTCTATTCATAATCACTCTTACAGTTCCAGCATCTGCATGGCTTTATATTCACAAATGTAAGTCAAACGAAAGTCTAAAATTCTGGCAGCCCTCACCTGGCCTTAAAATTCCCCCTTAAAAACACGAGGTGAGTGGATATGCTTTAAAAATTCTATTATTTCAGTATTTTTCCAGTGTATCCTTCTTGCAGGTGTGGCCTCTCCAAGATTTTTTTATTCCTTATTTTTATCTCATAG